CGCGCTTTCCGGCCTTGCCGCGGCCCTGTCCCCCCCCCTGGCTTTCCCGTTGGGCTTTGCTGCTGTCTTTCTCTGCCGGCTTGCTTGCTCCTTCTCGCTTTTGGTGGCTGCTTCTTCCGGGTGGTTCGTTCCCGCTTCTCGCGCCCCCCCCCGCCGCGGCCCTCTTGGCGCCCCTTGCTCTGCCTGGCTCTCCTTGGTCCCCGGCGCGGTCTCCCCCCCCGCTTGTCGGCGGCCTTCCTGCTGCGGGGCCGTTCGCCGCTTTGTCCCCCCGTTGGCTCCTGTGGTCTCCCTTGGTTCCCCCCCTTGCCCCCCTCCCCCGCCCCCCTCCCCCTTCCGGGGCTTGTCTCGCCGCGTTCCCTCCCCCCCCTCTCTGGCGCCCGTTCCTCTGTTGGGCTCTCCTCGGCCTCCTCCCCCGTCTTCCCCCCTCCCGGGCCCTCCCCTCCTCCTCCTTCCCGGCCCCCTCCCGGTTTTTCCTGGCGCCCCCCCGTGGGCGCTGCCCCCCCTCCCCCTTTGTTCCTCGCGGTCCTCTGGGTTCTCCCGGTCCTCCCGTTCCCTCTCCCTTTCCCGTTTCCGCGGCCCCCCCCCCCTCGCCTCCGGCCGTTTTGTTGGCCCCCTTGCTTCCCGGTCCGTTCGCGCTTCCCGCCCGGCTGGCTCCCCTGGCCGCTCGCCCCCCTCTGGTTGCCCGGCCCTTCGCCCCTCCCCCTTCTCTCTCCCGTCCTCCCGTCCCCGGGCCGTTGCCCGCTCTGCCTGCCCTCCCCGGGCGGCCTGTCCCTGCCCTTGTTCCCCGGCGTGGCCCCTCCTTGCCGCGCCCCCTCTTCCCCTCCCCGCCTCCCTTCCTCCCCGCCCGTTGCGGCGCCGCTTGCCGCGCTCCTTGGCTGGTCTCGCCGCTGCGCCCCTTGCTGTGCCCCCTCCTCCCCCCGTTCCCCCGGCCGTCGCGCCCCCTGTGCGCCGGTCTGTCCCCCCCTTGCCTTTTTCCTCCCCCTCTTGCCCCCCCCCCGCCCGTCGGTGGCCCCCGTTTTTGGCGCTTGTTGCGCGTTTGCCCGTTTCCGTTCCCTTCCTTGCTTTGCTTTCCCCCGTTCCCTCTTCTGGCCCCTTTTTGCCCGCGCTTCTCGCTCCGCCCCGCCCTCTGGGGCCCGCGCGCTGGTCGCTGTGGCCCCCGCGTCTCCGCGTTGCCCCCGGGCCTTGGGCGGCCTCTCCCTCCGCCTCGCGCTCCGGGGCCGTTCCCCTTCCTTGTGTGCTTGGCGGCCGCCCGTTTCCCGGGCTCCCTTTGTGCTTTCGGCGCCCGTGTGCGTGTTCTGCCTCTTCCTCTTTGTCCCGGGTTCGGGTTGGGCGCCCCCCCCCCCCTCCCCTTCCCCTTCGCCCTGGCGGCTCGCTCCCTCGTCCCGCCTCTTGGCCTTCCTTGCCGCTGTCCCCGTTCGTGTGGCCCCGTCTTTTGTGCCTTGTGCTTTTCTTGTGCTCGCTGTCCGCCGGCCCCTCGCCGTTCCCCCTCCTTTTGGGGCGCCCCTTCCTCGCCCCTCTTGGCGCCCTGCTTGCTGCCCGGCCCGGGTCCCTGCTTTTTGCCTTTGGGGCGGCCCCGGTGGCCTTTCCTGTTCTTGCTGCGCCCCCCTCCTTGCGTGCCCGTCCCTTTTGCCCCTCGCCCCTCCTCTCCCGGTGCCCCCTGCTGCGTCTTTGCCTTTGCCGCGTCTCTGGGGTGCTGCGCTCCCCCTCGCGGCTCCCCCCGGCTGCGCCCTCCCTCCCCCGGTTCGGTCGCGCTCGCGCCGTTCCCCTTCGCGCTTCCTGGGCGGCCCCCCCTGTTCTCTTTTCTTTCTTTCCTCTTTCTTGCTTTCTCGTTTCCTTTTCTTGCTTTCTCGCTTCGTTTTCTTTCGTTTTCTTGCTTTCTCGTTCGTGCTTCTTTTCGTTTTCTCTTTTCTCTTGTTCTCCTTTTCTTTCTTTGCCTCCGGGCCGCTGCCCCGTTTTCCGTGTGCGGGGGCGGCCTCCTTCCTTTGGGGCTCTTTCTCCCTTTTCCCCTTTTTGCTTTTGCTTGGCTGCCTCCTCTGCTCTTTTTGGTGCCTCCGTTCCTTGTCTTCGCCTGCCGTTCCCCTTCCTCTCTCTTGTTGGTTTGTGGTTTGTTTTCGTGGTGCTTGCTGCCTCTCCCTTTGTGCTGGCTGCTTTGCGGTGTCCCCCCTCTTTGCTCTCTTCCCTTGCCCCTCGCTTTGTTCCCCCCTTCCTCCTTGGCTTCCTTCTTGCTCTTGTGTTTTGCCTTGCTCGTGCCGGCTTCTGTGCGCTTCCGGTCCTGGGTGTTTTGCTCGCCCTTGCCTCCTTCCTCCCTCCGTGCTGTCTCCGTTTTGCCTGTTTTGCCGTGCTTTCGGCCCTTTTTGTTTCGCCCTCGCCTTTCCCCCTGTCCCTCTCTCTCTTTTTCTCCTTCGTGTCCCCCTTGTGCCTTTTGTTTGTTCCCCTCCGTGCTCCGCCCTTCTCCCCTCTTTGTGCTTGTTTTTCTTTGCTTTCCCCCCTTCTTCTCCCCTTCGCCCGTTGGCCCCCTCTTTCCCTTCCCCCCTTGCGCGCCTGCCCCTTTTCTCTTTCTCTTTCTCGTCCGCCGCGTTTTCTGGCGTTGTGCTCCGCCCCCCCCCCGCCGCTCGTGTTCCCCCTGTTCCCGTGTGGCGGTCCTGCCCGTTTGGCTTCCCCTTCTCTTGCTCTCTCCCCCCGCCGTCCCCCGCCCCCGCCCCGCCTGCCCCCCCCCCCCGCTTGCCCGTTTTTGCGTTTGGCTCCCCCCTTTCCCCCGCGTTGCTCCGTTCTTCCCCGCCCTTTGCTCCTTGGCCTTCTGCTTCTCTCCTCTCTTCCCCCTTTTGCCCCGTTTCGCTCCCTTGTGCCCTTCTCTCTTTTTGCTTCCTTTTTCCCTCCCCCTTCTTTGTTCGCCCTCCCCCGTCGCCCCTTCCCCGCTTCCTCCCGTCCTCTTTGCTCTTCGCCTGCCTTCTTCGCTTTGCTCTCGGGGCGTCTGCCGGCCCGCCTCTGGGCTCTCCTTCCTGCCCGTGTCTTGCCTCCTCTCCCCTGCGTCTTTGTGCCCCCTTGCTCCTCCCCTCCTTTCCCTTCTTGGTGCTTGGTTCTTGGCTTGGCCCTGGGTCTCTTCTGTGCCCCCCTCCTTTGCTTCTTGCCGCTTGTTGTTTTGTCGCCCGTTGGTTGGTGGTTTGCCCGGTTGTGCCCGCGCGCGCCTGCGTCCTTTGTCTGTTTTGCCTTGTGCTTTTCTTCCTTCGTTTTGCTTGCGGCCCCGCCCCGCTTCCGTGTGCGGGGGTGCTGTTCTCCCCTCTGTGCTTGTTTTTCTCGGTTCTTTTGCCTCCTCTCCGTCTTCCGTTCTTTCCTTTTGCTTCTTTCCTCCCTGTTTTCCTTGCTCTTCTCCTTTCCTTCTGGTTCCCCCTTGTTTTGCCTGTTTTCCGGTGTTTGTTCGTGTTTTTGCCCCCTTTTCGGTCCCCGCTCTGCGCCCGGGCCGTTCCCGGCTGCGTTTGGCGCCCTTTTGGCCGCGTTCGGGGCCCCGGCCTCGCCGCGTCGCGCCCGGCTCGCCGCGTCGCCCTTTCCCGTCGCTCCCTCCTTCGCGCCGGCCGTCTCGCCGGTCTCGCCGCGTCGCGCCTCGCGTCTGCTCGCGTCGCGCCGCCGCCGCCTCCGTGGCGCCCTGGCCTTCCTCCCGGCGCGCTTCTTTTCCTCCTCTCCCTTGCCGCTTCCCGCTCCTCTCTCCCTCTTCCCCGTTCCCCTTCCCGGCCTCTTCCCCCTTCTCCCTCTCCTTCCCGCCGCCCTTTCTTTCTTTCCCTCTCGGCCTTCTCCTTTGCGTCCCCTTTGTCCCCGCTTCCTCTTTCCTCTCCCCTTTGTCCCCCCTCTCCCTCCCTCCTTCCTCCCCCCTCCCCCCGCCGGCGCGCTTTTTCGCGTTCTTTGTCGCCCCGCCGCGCGCCCTCCCGCGGCTCCCGTCGTCTTTGGCCGCCCGGCGGCCGCCCGGGCGCTTTGGGCGCCTCGCTTGGTTCCTTCTTGTCCTCTTCTGCTGCTTTGTCCTCCTTTCTTCCTCTTTGCTCTGTCTCCTTTCGCCCTGCTCGGCTCCCTTCCTTCGGGCTTTTTGGGTGCCTTTGTTTCTGCCCCTCTGTGCCTCGTTCGTTCCTTTCTTCCTCTCTTTCTGTTTGGTTTTCTGCTTTGTGTTGCCCTCTTGTTTTCCTCTGTTGTTGTTGGTCGTTCCCGGCCTCCCTTCCTCGCTTCCCCGTCCTGTTTGTGTCCCCCCTGGGCGTTGGGGCCTCCCTTCGGGCCCCCCCGCTTGCCCCTCCTGGTTGGTCCTTGGGCCCGGGGCCCTTCTTCGGGGCCGTTTCTTCTCGCTTCTTGCTCCTCGGGCGCTGGTCGTCCTTCGGCCTCCTTGCCTGCTGCTCTTTGCTCTTCTTGGGTGTTTCCGCCCTGGGCGTGGCCCTTCCCTCGGCCTCGCGCTTCCGGGCGTCCTTCGCTTCCCCTTTGCCTTCCCCTCCCCCTCTTCCTTCCCCCCCCCTCTTCCCCCGTTCCTTGGCCCTCGGTGCTTCCCCTTGTGCTCCCCCGCCTCCTCTTTTGCTCTCTTGTCTCCCCCCCTTGCTCCTTCTTTTCTTCTGCTTGTTCTTTTCTGCCCTCCCTCCCCCTTCCCGTTTTGTTCGGCCTCGTTTCCTCTGCGTCCCCTCGTCGCTCGTGCTTCGTCCCCCCCCTCTCTGTGGTTCGCCCCCCCGCCTCCTCCGGGTCTTCTTTGTTTGCCCCCCCTTCCCGCCCTCCCCTTGGCGCCGTTGCCGGGGCGGTGGCGTTCCGTCCTGCCCTTCGTGCCCGTCTTCCTTTCGGCGTCTCGTTCCTTTTTTTTCTTTCTTTCTTTCTTTCTTTCTTTTCTTTGCTCCTCCCTCCCCCGTTCCTTGTTCTTGCGTGTGCTTTTGCTTTGCCTCTCCGCCCTTGGCTTTTTCTGCCTCCCGCTCTCGTGGGCCCGCCGGCTTCTTCCCTTTGCCTCTTGCGCTTGCGCCC